TGGGAGATTCTGAAGAAATCATTTGGAGGCGTTGAGAAGGTGAAAAAGGTGAGGTTACAAACTCACAAAAGAACATACGAATTGCTTCAGATGGAAGATAGTGAAAGCATATCTAATTTCTTCACTAGGGTTTAGGAAACTAGTAAATCAAATCAAGACTTGTGGAGAGACGTTAACAACAAGAATTTTTATTTCGAAGATCTTGATATCTTTGGCTCCAAAGTTCGATCATGTGGTATTTGCCATAGAAGAATCAAAGGACATGTCATCATTATCGAAGGAAGAGCTTAAAGGGACGCTTGAATCTCATGAACAAAGAATGACTGAAAGAGATGCAGGCAAGTAAAAGAGTGATGTGGCTTTGCAGGCTTAATCAGCAAAAGACAAGAAAGACAAAGGAAAGTGGTTCGACAATAAAGGTAGTGGTGGCTACAACAATTCAACTGGTAGAGGAAATAAACACAAAGAAAACGTGTCGAATCAGAGAATACCATACCAATGCAACCAAATAGGTGGTGTTGCAAATAGAGGAAGAGGTGGTGGTTGAAAGCCTGACAAGAGTCACATTAAATGTTTCAATTTTCAAAAATATGGTCACTATTCGAGTGATTGTTTAGAAAAGAGAAACAATTAAGAAAGTGATACAAAGTTTGCAAAACATGAAGAAGAAGAGATGATGTTGATGGTCACAATAATAGATGAAGATAAATTCAAGGACCAATGGTACTTGGATTCAGAATGCTCATCACATATGTCTGGAAGGAAATATTGGTTTGTCAACCTAAAAACCTCAATGAAGAACATGGTAAAATTTGCAAATGACAATACTCTAACATTTGAAGGTATTGGTGATGTTATGATTATGAGGAAAGATGGCAAGAAGTCAGTAATTTCAAATGTGTTATACATACCAGGAATAAAAAGAAATTTGCTCAGTATATGGAAGTTGGTTGAAAAGAATTACAAAGTGTTGGTCAAAGACAAGATGATGAGAGTCGTTGAAGCAAATAAAAGGTTGATCTTGAAAGCTCATATGTCTCATAATAGAACCTTCAAGATCAAACTTAATGTGATGGAACACAAGTGCCTTTCGACTGCAGCTAGCAAAGATAAATGAATATGGCATTATCGACTTGGCCATATCAACTTCAGAGACATCAAAGATTTAAGAAGAAGAAATATGGTTTCAGGGTTTCCAGAAATTGACATTCCAAGTGAGGTGTGTGAGGAATGTGTGCAGGAGAAGCAGTACAAGAATAACTTCAACAAGGATGTAGGAAGCAAGTTGAAGGTTGTCCTCGAAGTCATATACTCTAATGTATGTGGACCAATCCAGGTGGATTCGTTTGGAGGTAACAAATACTCTCACATTCATAGATGATTTCAGTCGAAAACTATGGACTTACTTAATCAAGAAGAAAAGTGAAGTGATCTAGGTATTTATCAAGTTTAAATCTATGATCAAAATACAAAGTGGTCGAAAGCTCAAAGTTTTGAGAACTGATGGTGGTGGAGAGTATGTGTTGAAAGACTTCGACAAATTATGTGAAAAAGAAGGGATTATGCATGAGGTGGTGCCACTCTACACTCCACAACAGAATGGAACTGCAGAAAGGAAGAATCGAACCATCATGAATATGGTGAGAAGTATGTTGAAAGGCAAGAATTTACCTAAAGATTTTTGGGGTGAAGTTGTGTCAAATGCAACATACATATTGAACAAATGTACAATGAAGAAGCTAGAAGGAATTACTCCATAAGAATGTTGGTCTGATGTGAAGCCTAGCTTGAATCATATGAAGGTATTTGGATCTATTATACATAGACATGTGCCAGATCAGTTGAGAAGAAAACTTGATGACAAGTCGAGTCAAATGATCCTAGTAGGGTATCATTCGATAGGAGGTTACAAGTTATTTGACCCAATGAACAAGTAGATTGTGATTAGCAGGGACGTGATCATAGATGAGCTTAAGGAATGGGATTGGACAGAAAATGTCAAGAAAGATTCAGTAAGAATATTATTCGAAGAACCAACAGTTAAAGTTGAAAGAGAAGTTTGACAAGAGGAACCAACAGTTATAGATCAACAAGGAACAAGCAGACCTCAGAGAACAAGATGCATGCCTGTAAGGTTGCAAGATTGTGTGATTACATCAGATAATGTGATAGATAATGAAGGTGAGTTGGTACATTATGCTTTCTATGCCGATGTCGAACCTTTCAATGCAGCAGAAGCATTGAAGAATTCGAAGTGGGTGAAAGCAATGAACAAAGAAGTGAAGCCTATCGAAGACAACAACACTTGGTCACTTGTCGAATTGCCTCAAGGCAAGAAGGAAATTGATGTCAAGTGGGTATACAAGCTAAAGATGAATCCCAAAGGGGAAGTAACTCGACACAAATCAAGGTTGTGGCGAAAGGATTTCTCCAGAAAGAAGGAATAGACTTCGATGAAGTTTTTGCACATGTGGCTAGAATCGAAACAATCAGGTTAGTTGTTGGTCTTGCAGAAATAAAAAGTTGGCACATATGTCAGATGGACGTGAAGTTTGCAGTCCAGAATGGACCCTTAGACGAAGAGGTTTATGTTAAACAACCAGTTGGGTTTGTGAAACATAACAAAGAGAGAAAGGTGTACAGACTGCATAAAGCCATGTATGGATTAAAACAAGCTCCAAGAGCTTGGAATAAGAATATTGATAGTTTTGTAAGGGAAAAGGATTTTGTGAAGTGAACAACTGAACATGGAGTATATGTAAGAAGAAGTAATAGTAAATTTCTTATACTATGTCTCTATGTTGATGACTTATTAATAACGGGTAGTTGCAAGAAGGAGATCGAAGACTTTAAAGGTGATCTCAACAAGGAATTCGAAATGTCTGATCTGGGTGACATTTCAAATTTCCTTGGAATTGAATTCTACAAGAGCAGTAGAGGTTTGATGATGTATCAAAGAAGATATGCAAGAGAAGTTCTCAAGAGATTTGAGATGGAAGAATGCAACTCAACTTCGACACCTGCTGAACCAAGGTTGCAACTGTCGAAATGCTCAAAAGAAGATGATGTCGACCCAATGCAATACAGAAGACTTATTGGGTCATTAAGATACCTTTGTCATATAAGGCCTGACTTAACATACAATGTAGGTATGGTAAGTAGATTCATGCAGAAGCCAAAGGTATCACATCTAGCAGTGTTGAAGAGGATACTAAGGTATCTCAAAGGAACTCTCAACTATGGAATTTTGTTTCCTATAACTGACAAAGGAAAAGAATTAGTGGGATACACTGATTCAAGTTGGTGTAGTGATGCTGAGGATCGAAAATCCACAGCGAGTTATATGTTTATGCTAGGTGGTGCACCAACTGCTTGGAGTTCGAGAAAGGGACCGACTTGCTTGTATCAAAAGTATGTCCACATGGTCGTGGGTAAGAGTCCCACATGTGAATAAAGTATCCCGTTGAAGAGTGTCCAATGGTGGTATAAGTGTGTGGAAGAAAGAAGCTTCCACTTAAGAGAGGCATTATGGACTCACACTTGAGGGAGAGTGTTCATAATATAGCAAGTGTGAGTGTGAGGAAATAGTCCCACATTGGATAGAAATGTGGTGAATTGAGCATTTATAAGTGAGAGGATCCACTCATCTATCACCTTAAGGTTTTAGATGGACAAGTGGTGTATCTCCCATAAAGGTATGTTACTCAAACAGAAAGTCCCTGTAAAGTGTAAGAATGCTCCTCGCTCGATCCTGTAGCGATAAAAAATGTAGCGGTGTAAATCGGAGATCGAGCTATTAATTAACTCGACTCGTAAAAGCAAGAGTCGCCACCACGCTTTATTATTTCCAAGGGAAAAGGGGAAAAAGCGAAATAAAACCCTTAAATATGCAATGTAAAGTAATACTTAAAAGTAATGAAAATACAATGTGTTTTTGAAAGAGATTGAAGGTTCGGGGATTGGTTATACAATGGGATGGTACTAGCATCCAATGCATCTGCGGTACTTCATAGGAACCTTTTGAAATATCTATTTTTTGGTTAAAATTGTTTGTTTGGCTAAAATGGGTGTGAATGAGATTTCGAAGATACGACGACCTAGTGTCGAAGTTTTGACTTAAAAGGTGTGAGTTTTAAAATTGAGTCTTTTAGGAAAATTGATTTAAGATTAACAAAATAGTAAAACAAAAATGAATGAAGGGATTCACACAATCGTATAAGATGTATTTGATGACATGAAGTCAATAAAGTTAAAACATTTCCCTTGGAATTTAGACGAACGAAAGATATAAAAATTAAATGATCGAGAACAAAGTTAATTAGAATGACAATTGAATAATTAAATAAATAACAAAAATTAAATAAGAGACTAATTTATACTAGCATGTGTTTTTGAACAATTAAATAAATAACCAAAATTAAATAAAAGACTAATTTAATAGCATGTATTTTTTGTATTTTTTATAATGTCAAGAAATAATTATATATAAAATAAACTAAAATAATATTTTGTTATCAAATATTTAATAAATTTTGGGAAAGTAATATTTATCTATTATGTCTTGCCACTTAACTATGACTTGCCACTTAACTATGTTTTTTATCTATTATGTCTATACTTTAATTAAAATAAAAGGCGATGATGATAAGGTGATTGGGCCAACAGACCCATTGAGCCGACCCGGTTTGGGAAGAGAACAAGGAAAGGTTTTGGAACCCTAAACAAAAGAGGCGCCAAATTTGTTGTCAACATTGGGAAAGGAAAGTTACAAACATTAATTATTATTATTTCCAATAAACTTTATTCTCTATGTCTTATCGTGAAAAAAAAACAAAAATTAAAATTCTTCATCTCTCTATCCTTCTCTTTCAACGGCTCTGTCACCGCCTGATAACCAGCGCCACGGCATATGGAACCACCGCAACCTTCACTTGCCGATTTTTGCACGGTTAGTTACTGTCACGCTGAGACCCTTCCAGTCTTTTGCTGTTTCTTTGGCGATGTCTTCTCTGATCTTCTTTGGGGAGAGACCGAGAGGACCGATCTTTGGGGAGAGGGAATTGGTGGCGTCGACTTCAACGACCTGGGATGGATCGACTTTTGGAGGCATTGTCGATGATGGAAGAGAAGACGATGTGATTAGGGTTTTGCAGTTTGCTGAAGTTTGGGTGTTTTTTGCAGGTCTTGTAGATGGTGAGAGGACATGGGCTGTGAAGGAATCGAGTTAGGCCTTGTACAATTTTGCGTTTCCTCTGGTGTTTATTAAGGTTTGTTATGGATTCTTTGTATTTCCTTCCGTCTTTACTTTCACTCCTTCTGAAAATTCCTATTGGAATAGTTGTGTTGATGAAATTGTCGAAGCTGCTGCTATGATGTTTATGTTTGATTTGAGAATCCACCACAACTATTGTCAGGTGAATTCTGCATAGAGCCAGGGATTATAGCAGCAACACTAGCACCACCTTGAAAAGAATCTGACGAGGAACTTTGGTTCAGGTTATTGAAAGGGGACCCTTCTCGATGAAGTGAGCTAGGACTTGAATTCATCGAGTTTTGCCCCATGAGAAAATTCTGATAACTGGACATTGCCAAAGCAGCTTGTGATGGCCCAGTCAAAGCACCAGGATTGCCCATATTGTTGTGATTATTAGTTATATGATTGTTCGATCCAGGATTTAATGCCATCAGTTTATTAAGGATATTTCTATTAGATGGGAGACCTTGAGCATTTGTTGTCTGTTCTATTTCCTGCATCTTTTGCATTTAGTGCTTTGACGCGGTTGAAAATTAAGAATAATTTTTCAAACTCTCAATTGCTCAGATATCTTGATCAGAACTGATATCAATTAGATCTTTCATGTTATTGCAAACCTCAGAAATCTGCAAAGTTCTCACAAATCTTTTTGAAAAGCCTAAGTCATTTAGTGATTGTAGCTCCAAACTCTTCACAAGCTGACGCCCAACAATTAGGACCATGTTGTTGTTTGATTGTAAGTCATGTTGAGAAACCCCGTCTGACCCACTTTCAGAAATCGTACTTTGGCATTTTTGAGCTACCTGAACTAATTGGTTGACCTGTGGGGCAACTAACTCTGGGTAGTATATCAAAAGTTGCCTCAAATCCCCTTCTTCTAGATTTGGCTCCACATATGTCACAATGCCAAGCATTTGTAGTTGCTTGCGGTAAAACACCAGTTGTATGGTGTCCAGCATTAGTATATAATGCCAAACACCACCGTTACTTTGCACGAGGAGAGTAATATTCAGCCACAAATTTTCTCCAATACGCAAAACTATTATCCTGAGAAAACGGATCAATTGAATTTTTGCGAAGGATTTTTTGTGTTTCTTTTATCTTCTGTTTCTTCTGTATTTCTCTTACTATGAAAATTTTCTCCTATTTCTTGTATGGTGTTTGAATGAAAGCTTTTTCTCTTTGCAGGCGGATGTGAGTGTTTGAGCAGAGAGATTTGAAGAGTTGATAAGTTTATGAGTGAGGTTATAGTAGGAAGGTGAAGAAGAAGAAAGCAAAACGTTGCAAGAGTGGGGACGTTAAGGTGGGTGGTGAATCTGTTTGGGATTTGTGTACTTAGAAAAAGAAAATTGAAGGTATTTTTTATCTCTGAATTTTATGTCATTTATTGTGCATTTCTGTATGCGCTTATTATTACTTCTAAACATTCTAAATATCAACAAATGCAACAGCTCCAGAACGCAGCAGAAGAGTATGATAAATCAAGCATTCATATGGCATAAAGAAGATGATGCAAAGAGAATAATCAACTATGTAGTAAGGGTAGTGTGCAAGCGAGGCAAAACGGATATTGATGTGTGAAAGAAGATTATACATAATATAATGGAGAGGAATATACCTATGAATGCCCTATTTTGATGCTTTTTTCATACAGCTTTGAGTTGCCATTTTGGTGTAACCTCTTGGCTGTCATGATGCAAGGCAGCAGTGGCATAGCAAACTGTTTTAGACTGATCTACAACAGTTTTTTGGCAGAATTTGGACCATTGCAGACTGTTGTTTTTTGGACTGGTTTGTAGGGGGCTGCAACATGATATTGGGCTGATTTGCAGGCTGTATTTGGACTCGTTTACAACAATTTTTGGCAGGGTATTGGAGCAAGATTTGAAGCATTTAAAATTAAAATTAAGTCTAGAATTTAACTTTATATGTAACATGAATGAAAACTTGTCTTGAATATAATTTTTCTCTCAATTCCTTTGTAGTTGTAAACACTTTGGATAATTTGAAACTTTGAATCTTTATATTCATCTTGATGAAATTTGAAATCTTCCACTTGAATTTGAAAAGGAATTGATTGATACTTGAATGAATTTTTGAATAAGGAATGAACAATGATGCAAGCCTTAAGATCTCAATATTGCATCTTGTATTAGAGATCCAAATGAATTACATGAATTGATCTTATAATGAAGTTGTAACCATTATGTATTTATTCTTGTGATGAATGATTATTTGAATCAAGTTTCTATTTTCAATATCTTATTTAATAAATGCCTCATGTGAATTCAAATGACCATGGTGGGAATCCATCAAAATAATCACACAAAAATAATCTTGAATAAATGCAGTATGAGGAATGATTTGAATCTTGAATGAACCCCTTTGATAACTTCTATTTAGTTAACACTTGAATTCAAACGATGAAGACTCCAAGTATTCTAAATAAATTCTTCCAAATCGATCTTGAATTCAATCACCCACTCTAACGAAATTCACCCTGCGTCATATAAGTATAAGAAATTGAACCATACTTAAAAGCTTCGAATGATCACTAGAAGAGAGATTTGAGGCAAAATGTTATCGTATTGAGAATTCGGCACAATGAACTGAACTTAGAGATCCAGAAACTCTTAAATCATGACAAACTTCCTATAAAGGTTTTTCATGGCTTTCTAAACACAATTTGTCTTCAACTTTTAGAGAAAACTTGTAGACGACTTTTGGTCGAAGTGTTTGGAATTGACTCGCGTAGCCTGATCTTTTCTTGTATTTCAAGGCAAGGTGAAACACACATGAACCAATGCTAATGGAACCTTGACTGTTTTTTTGAAGAATTTTGGAGAAGCTTGAGGCCATTTGTTGAATAGAGCGTGGAAATAAACACACGATTCTATGAAAGTTCCCCGAAACAAGCTATCATACTTGAAACATCCGTGATCAAAATGAGCCTAAACGATGTTCGAGACTCCATGCTCTGAGATTAGAAGTTGTGCCTCGACGAATCAGTCTTCGAGAATTAATGATCAACTGTACTTCTGGCTTGAGAGACTCAAAACCCTAATTGGGGCATGACGCCTGATGCTCTTGATTCAGACCTGTTTCTTCACATGAAATCAAAGAAACAAAAAATATACACATTGTGCTTGATTAGAAGTTAGTCATGCATAAGATAAAATGTCCATAACACTCGATAATCTCTGCACAGGCAATGCTCGAAGGTGAGAAGTTCCAAATTGACCATATTTCGTGACCTTGATGTATATAAAAAAAAATGCAAATAAAGATGGGATCTTAGGTCAAAAATTGGGGTATGACAGACCCCCTGAGTTGCGCCAACAAATATTGCTCCAAAAAGACTATAAATTGAGTCTCCAAACCATTTCATTCTCCATCACAAACCACAACCAGAAATGACACAAACATATCCACACCTTGCTTTTGTCTACTTCAGTGGTACGCAAACGCCACTTCAATTCAGGTTTTCACAGGACACACTGTTCGGCGAGCTCGTTAGAATACTGCATTCTCTCTTGTAATATCCATAGAATCGAAAGGTGGTCAAGCTTGAGTATCGTTCACCTTCGCTTGACACTGAAAGAAACATAAGGTTCATCCCGTTTCAGCTGAATAACGACGACGGTTTAAAGGTTATGTGGGTACCTTTCAATGATACTCTTCTAAGGATCCGATTGAGATGGATGTGAAGCTTCAAATATCAACAGAAGATGTCATCAAGATGTTGCAACGTCTTCAATTCCCATTTATAACAATATGTAACTTTAATTTTCTGCAGAACTATTTATGTAATTTCTTTGAATTATGTTGAATGAATATTATGAATTATGTTGAATAATGTTGATTGTTCTGTCCATAGATAAATTTGGATATACATATTCGAAATAAAATACTAAGTGAATTCAGATATATATCTAAAGTAAATTTAATAAATCACATTGGTGATACGTTTAGATATACACTTCCAAATTCTTAAAGTATTTTAAATTTTTCACCAAAAATTTATAATAAAAATATTAGGTGTGGAAAGAAATCCTCCTAATAGAATTATAGCATTATTTTATAAACTCAAAACTAACATTTTAAAAAACACAATACTACCATCTTGGTTGAACTATTGTGACTTACATTGTTATTTCTCGTCTAGTCCAATCATTAAAGGAGATTATTCCTAACTTAATATATCATTTTTAAAAAAAATCCTTTTTGTCTATATTCAAGACTAGAGTATTATAATTATCGAAAATGCTCATTTTTTATTCAATTGGTTAAACCATCCATTTCAACTCAATTTTTTAAACTTTACTTTTAATCAAAAAATTAAAAAATAAACTGTAGTCTTATCTATCACTCTCTAACTAAGTCTTTCTTTTTACAACAAACTTACACATTTTATTTATCAAAAAAAATTTAATTCATAATGAGATGTGATTTTTATGGACTAACAATGATCTGACACTCTCGCTAACAGATTAGCTATATGTATATAATTAAAGATTTGAATTATCGGTGATGCCGCGAACCACTAATTTATAATCTAGTTCTACATACACATTAGAAAGTTTCAAATTCCATAGTCAAACAATCAATTGCTTTAATTGTCAAGCTTCTGCTTCATGGACAAGTGGAATGTCGTATCTCCATCTTATTTATATCATATAAAAATTAGCTAAAAAACAAAAATTCTATTAATTGCATCTGACCAGAGTAATCGTCAAAGTCTTACGTTGAGCTGAGGTTGAAAGCGAGATGGAGGTATCTGCAAGACACTTCAATGTCAAATTAAGTTTTAGAGAGAGTGCAAACAAGTGTGAGTATGAGTATAGAATGAATATTTGACCCTCTCAAGTGAGAGGGTATTTATAGCCCCCAACATTGGGTTAAGGTCCCCATCGTTGGGCCACGATGAGACCCAATAATGAAGACTGTCAGGGCTTACGTGTGTATGGAGTCCAACAAGTGGACTCCTCCTTGGTCAACTGTTCCGTGAGAATAAGGGTTGGACCCGTAATTTCTAGAGGGCAGTTAAGATGACAGTGATGTGGACACGTGGGCCACGTTTCCCAACGAATGCGTGAGGAGTTGCCTAACGGTCCCTAGCTTAGGCTGCTTACTTTTGGGCCTTATACAAGGGTGTTGGATTGGGCCTCTCAACCGTGGGGCAAGTGCAGACCCAGTCCAGATCAAGAGCTCCCCAAGTTATTGCCCTTCGGTGAAAGGGTGATGACTTAAGTTCAGCTTTTATAGTCGGGGAAGATTCAGTCGGGAAGGAAGGTCGACGTCCTCTGAAAGGAAGCGAGTTGTTGCCCACGTCGGGGACAACCTGTTTGGACGTGTCAGAGATCTTGTGGACAAACGAGCAGTGAGGACGACTGGCTCAGTTGTTTGTCCGACAGGAGCGTATAAGTTGTTTGTACTGACTTAAGATGATGGTGAGTTTACAACTCAGGGTCAAAGGTAGACAAAAGGATACACCAACTTTTACTGATAGTGAACAACCGATTTTTAATGAAGGTAGAGATTTCATAACAAACTTCTCTGCGGGACTTTTCCAAAGAGATACCATTTACTGCTGAAATAACATATTATTGTGGATACACAAGTTTCTCAAATAAAGAGGCCGCCACTTACTGTCTTCAAAGGATATTAATAAGCACACAAGCTGCTCATGAAGAGTCTGCCACTTGCTGTCTTCCAAAGATATCAATAATACACAAGCTGCTCATGAAGAGTCTGCCACTTGCTATCTTTCAAAGATATCAATAACACACAAGTTACTCATGAAGAGACCGCCGCTTGCTGTCTTCTAAAGATATCAATAACACACAAGCCGCTCATGAAGAGATCGTCGCTTGCTGTCTTCCAAAGATATCAATAATACACAAGTTGCTCATGAAGAGTCAGCCACTTGCTACTTTCCAAAGATATCAATAATACACAA